ATATTATCAACACCCAGCGTTCAAAGAAGCAAAATAGAAATCCATGGACTACTGTAGTGAAAGTCACTTTTTGACCTGAATCAGCCGCTTGTCTAAACTTTACAAAAGATGTAGACATCATGATATGATCACATAAAAAAGATCATGCTATTATTTCAAACAACCTTCTCTGTGCAGTGAAACACCTAATCATTACACCACTGAAGTTGGAAATATATTGTTGATAAAAAAAAGATAAAGAAAGAAAAGAGACTTTTTAAAAAGAAAACCTATAAAAGATAAGCAAATTCATGTTCAGTCCTAATACAGTGATAAAAAAAAAATCCAATATATATGAAAAGGAAATTTGACAACTTCATCTCCAAGAATAGGATATTGTGTACTCGATCAGTCAAAGTTCTCACAATCTCTCCATTTTCGTCAGATGTGACTTTCAAAACTATCACAAGTTCAGAGTTTAACAAATCATGCAGATATGCTTTCTTAAAGCATGGCTGAACCACTCAGAGTAAGTTATCAAGAAACTTATGAGATAAAAAGACAAAGCCAATTGATAGTAATGCTTTTATGCTTCCCTACTTTTGAATAACCTTAAAAACCAAGCCTTTATTTTTTACAGCTTTTTTTCAACAGTTTACCAAAATAACAGAGAAAATATTTTTTTCCCTTCCACCTAAAAAGAGCTAATGCAGAAATAAATGAACATGCAGCACAAGCATTTCAGCACAAGAAAAGATATGTGAAGGCTCATAAAGATACACAATCATTACTATTAAGACAATTACATAAATTTATTTTGATTTTCTTTTTAAAAAACTTGATTTCTAACTAATAACGATAAATATCAACGTCATGCATATATATATTCACAGAGGCGCACAGTGTAAAGCTGGTGTTTGCAGAGATCAAGACCTACCAAGAAGGCACACTGTTTCAAACTCATGCACTGCATATTTCAAATGTTTATCTACAATACATCTAAAATATATATTTGAAGCTCACGTTCAGTCACCTTTTCGGTCAAGCTAACGGTCCACACAACATAACTACAGGATGGAGAAAGTAATGCAGGTTGTTAATTATTATTGTTTGAAGCTGGAAACAGCAATAAATATTTGCACACAAATTGACGCAAAAGGTTTTTTTCCTCCCCTTACCATCATATTTAGAAGAGACAAAAATCTGCACAGCTTCAGATACAGTTTTCTTATCAATTGCAACAGTAACATGGACAAACCAAGACAGAAAATATCCAAGGGGGAAAAAAAAAACCCTGAAAACTTCGGGAACCGGTGGTTACATCGTTTCTGAAAATGTAGAAAAGTTCGCAAACTTTCTTTGTGATCTTGAGTGCTTCAAGTTTCCCATTTCATTCACAAGTCACATGTATACTTAAATATTGCAAAACCATCACATCCAAAGAAAAGTCAATAGCATTGTTATACACATTCTTTTACGTCCCCACCATTTTGACTGTCAATGCAGATAATGTACAAAAGCTGACTCTCTCTTTAATTTCCACCCACTCTCCGTAATACCTTTTCACAACACTCGAATGTCAAAGAATGACTGTAAATATAATATTATAAATGAAAACGAAATACAAAAGTTTGGATATAAGAAGCATTGAGCTAAATGACTGGTATATGCGCTGAAAACATTGTATTTGAGAGTACGTGAAAAATACACAACAAAAAAGAAACAGTTAAAATGGCCAGCATTATTCTGAATTCTGCCGCATTCAAATACATTTTTTTTGGCAAACACAGAAAAGCCAAGCTTACCTACAGGCCAGCAGACAAGAACTTTCACACTCACATGACTTAAAGAAAACATATGTCACAGCTAGGGAGACAGACCCCCACATCTTGAGGAACACTGTACATTCCATGGAGCCAAGATAAATACCAGTAATTTCAAAAGGACATTTGGTTTTGTTTTTTTCTTTAATGTAGATGTTTTTTGCCCCATCAACACAATTTAGATTATTTCCTTTGTAATCAATCATGTTGAAATACTATTTTTTATGCTGTTCAGGAAACACCCAAAAAAAAATACGATCACAAAGAAAGTTCTACTTTCATCAATTTACAAAATATGACCTTAGAAAACTTTGAATATCATAGAAAGAGACAGGGTGAGAAACGAGATGGTCGGAGAACAAGATGGTTCAACTCCCTGCTTTGGAGTGCATAGATAAAAAAAACGCATAATAACACGGTTTGAAAATCTGTCAACACTACCACCACACAGTATAGCAGCCAGAGCATATCAAACCAGAGATCAGATGGATGCGGAGGAAGAGGTAGGCCGAGGATAATATGAAAGGAGCGGGTTAGAGGCAAATATAATATAACCCTGCAACAGGTGATACAACAAACAAGAGAAAGACGTTCATCACTCCCCCCGCAACACTGTAAGATAACAGAGGCCAGAAAAGTAAAGTAAAAATAAAGTAAGTACAAAATGCGAAGTGATCTTGACAATAAACTACATTTTTCCCATCCATGTTGTTAGAAATCAAAGAGGACTTTCGTACTTCCAGCCTACAGCAATGAATTAAATAATTTATACATACTTTCCATGAAAATTACCTTCAAGAAAGATGTGAGATTTTTAAAATTTCTGACCTAAAGAAGCAAAATCTCTGACGACGATTCATCCAAAAAACATGTGTCCCAGCTTAGAGCATAGAAATTAATTTAAGGATTTTTTTTCCACAAACTCAGCCTCCCCATGAGCCCCAAGGCATCTATAAGACAGCAAAAAACATGGACGAGAAACATCACAATGAAAACATAGACAAGGAACATCAACAACTAAATTTATTCTAAAATTCTGATTAAGACTATATATAAGCAGATGGATGAAGAACTGAGCACAAGTGTGCACAGGCTGTTATGTACACATGTCTGCAACTGTCTCAAGACAAACACATCTACATGTCAGCAAGCTGTTCAAATGTTCTAAGCCCAGAAAGAAACATTTTTTCAGGAGAGAAAAAAAAAGAGAAAAAACAACCCAAAAACTGTTCCATTTCTTCAACCAATTGTACCTACATTATGTTGGGTTGTTTTTTTTTTAAACCTTTTTCAACATTTAGAATTAAATTTTTTAAACCAAATGTTTTATTTTTATTTTGTTACATGTATAGTTAAATTTGCTTTTATGGTTATCTGTCCAAGACAATTACCAGTACAAATAATTAATTTCCACCTCCAAGATGTCCCACCTGTCTAAGACAAGCACTTCTCTCCTCAGCGATGAGTGTCTGTGTTAGACAATTTTCACTGTATATGCAGCATATATCACAGATTAAAAAACTGCAATTGAAATAAGTTTTCAAAATTTTGGGCTAGACACGTCTGAACAGCTGGCCGACGAAAGGTTTTCTATCCATCGGTCACAAGGCAAGGCGAATGATAGAGATCAACCTCAAAATGTTCATTGCCACAAGTCCCTGAATGTACTAAGGATTTTAAAAAACTAGTCACACGGAAGTAAAAAAATATCTCCTGTTATGTGTGTAACACAATTGGATTATCTTTGCCCTGTGATCCATCCAGTTCCCTGCTTAAACATTATCACACGTATTCACTTTGTAGATTGAGAATGGGCACTTAATTTCCTCCTCAATGTTTTATTTTGCTTTAGCACCCTCACCGCACTTTCAGATACGAGTCGACTTCAGTCGACACACGCATACAATGTATATGCTATAACTCACACCCATACATATACATTATATATATATCTATACACAGACAGTCATTAACTCCCATCCCCCCACCCCCCCTCTCTCTCTCTCTCACACACACACACACACACACACATACACACACAGGCACGCAAGCACACACACACAAATAAGATTCACTTTAAAGGTGATAAGCTCATAGATCTATCTATATATATATATTTACTGATCAAAAGCAAAACCTCGGACAACATCATAGACTCATCTTAGTGTGACCACGGAAAAGGTTCCACAACAGCAGAAATTGTAAAAAACATGCAAACACCCCACCCACCTTTCCTTGTACAGGACAATTTTCTACAGGGAATTCAAAATAGTAGCGAGAACAGCATAATACTGACCCTTCCCCCCACCCCCCCTAAAAAAAAAAACCCAGTTTATTTCAATCCAGAAAAGAGGAAGGAAACAAAATAAGAACAAATTTTACTTTTAGAAGTATCAAACTGATCCAAAGTTTCGACCCAATCCAGAAAAATTTACCACACAAATCATATATATAGGATTCAAAACAGAAACACAAAAAACAACGAAGGTAGTGTGAATTGAGTGTCACTTCAGACTGAACTGAATGAAAATAAGAAAAGACAGAACAATGCATACATATCAAGCGAAGATTAATATCACATAATGTTAGTTTCAATATAGTTTATATATATGACCAAGTCAGTTTTCCACGTGCAATGTAAACTAAATAAAGTTTAGTCAGAAATATAATTAGGGATCTTAACTAAAGGGAGACTATCCAATTACGACATGAATTGAAAGGTTCTGCAGGAAAAACTAAGGCAATATTTTACTTAGAAATGCAGAGGGGGAAATTTATCTTGATCTTTTTGCCCTCAGCAAGACACATTTCAAAGCTGATACTAAAATTATCCATCCGAAGACAAAAACACACCTGAACACTGCTTATAGAACCAAAAAATGCCAGCAAAGAAATTATTAGACATGAGCTGTGCTTTAGGTTGAGGCAAGGTGTCCCTGAAAAACATCAGTCCAGCCACAAAAATCGTCTCGTCAGTTTTCCACTTCCATTTCAGTATGGCGAGGGGACACAAAGAAAATGAGATCATGACACAAACACACAAAAAAAAATCCATTTTAAACAAAATCCAAAGTGTGGTTTTTCAGCATTTTGAGAAGACAAAAATTATTTTCAAGGCAAACGGTATTTTAAACAAATATTTCTGATTAAAACACGCTTTTCCGCAGAGTCGTTTCACATTTGACAGAGTCTAGTCAGTTTTTTTGAAGTTTTGAGAAAATTTAAGAAAAAAAGATTGCCCAAATATTAGAATCATGACATGGGTATTTTTTCCCCTGTTAAATATTTGTAAAGAAATAAAGAAATACAACAAAATTAGACTACAAGACACCCCTTGATGTCTTTATTTGAACAGCAATCATATCTGCGTTTGTTTGTTTGTTTTGTTTGAGTAGGTCTTTTACAGCAGATCACATTTGGAAACCCCCAGAGTTTTTATTTCAGCAACTGTGGGAAGGCGCTGATGCTTTGTTTGCCTTGGAAAACTACTTGTCTGACCACTAGCCCCAAGTCCTCAACTGACATTTCCACAGACTTAGGTTTCTGAATGTGAGAGCAGAGCAACATCGGACAAAGATAAACTTTAGTTTAAGTTTTAGTAAGAGTTTTATGGCACTTGCAACACAGTCAAGGGATGCAAGTGCCAAGGATTAGAGCTTTTACTAGAGCGTAACATACAAAGAAAAGAAGATGGAGAGATGAGGACAATATATGTTTGATAGGAGAGAGGCGCAAAGCACATCATAGCACCCGCCAACCTCCCCCATGAAAAGATTTATAGATATTACCAGATTATAAACAGTAACACACGATGAGTCAGTGCGCAAGTAAGTTTTGAGGCTAGAAAAAAACCCAACTTAAAACAAAACAAAATAACAGGCATAAATATCTGAGAATTACATTTGCTGATACAGTCAATTTCAGAATGTTTCTATGCACCAAACTGACAGAAACAGTATTTTTACTGATTAAAAAAAACCCTTTTATTTCTTTTTTGGCTTTCTCTCTAATATCTGTTTGATAGAGAAAACAATAGTAAATCCCTCAGAGACAAAAGTTTGTAGCCTACCTTCTGCAAAAGAAACCATAGCACCAAAGAAAAGCAAACGGTTCAAAAACATCTACTCAGTACAAAAGACAATAAAAATTTCGACTTTCTCTCTGAATTCATTATGCAAAACAATTAATAAAGAAGTCCGTTTCATAATAGAGGCAAACACATTGGGGCATACAGAACAATCATACAGGCCATAGATGTTGTTAAGAAATATTCTGTGTAGTGGTTTCGTACTAAAAAAAGCTCATCACACGGTGGAATGATCCTTTTTGGTCAACAGTTATTATTATTCATGCACAATACTTGTAAAAAAACACAACTAGGATACCGATATCTCATCCATGACGACAAACAACCTTTTAAAAACAGGAAACCCTCAAATATCCCTCGGTCAGCAGCATGATATCTTTTTCTCTGGTTTACTGGTGACGTCATTAGAGTCCAGCACAACCCGATCTCGATCCCTGTCTTCTTCTCCGATCGCTTTGTCTTTTTCTAATATCTGAAAAGATGAAATGAGAAACTTGATGAGACTCAGTGTATCTAAAAAAATGAAAGAAGAAATTCAGTGACACTCTGTTTATCTCAAAAATTGAAAGAAGAAATTTAATGAGCCTCAGTGCATCTGAAAAGATGAAAGAAGAAATTTAATGAGACTCAGTATATCTTAAAAATTGAAAGAAGAAATTTAATGAGCCTCAGTGCATCTGAAAAGATGAAAGAAGAAATTTAATGAGACTCGGTATATCTTAAAAATTGAAAGAAGAAATTTAATGAGACTCAGGGTATCTGAAAAGATGAAAGCAGAAATTTGATGGGACTCAAAGTATCTGAAAAGATGAAAGGAGAAATTTGATGGAACTCAGTGCGAGTACATAAACCTGAATCATTAACAATTTATTTACAGAGGCACCAACCATCCATGTTTTGGTGTTGTTTTAGTCTTTTTATCCTCTGTCTGACAATTCTTTTCATGTTATAATACAACTAAACTTAACACAACAAAGTTGAAAGGCACAACTCAGGATATGATCTAAAAGTGGACGGCACACACAAATTGAGTTTAAGTTTGAGTAAAGAGAAGAAACTCATCAGCCCATTAACAGTCATTTAGAAATAGAAAAAAGAAAGAGGGAGATACAAAAGTAACAGAGGGTAAAATAGAAAAAGTACCTACCAGTAACACCAGCTAACGACCCATTTCCTTAGGAATTTTTCGTACTTCTGCTCAGAGTTTTTGTAACTAACCAGCTGAGAAGCCTGCACAAAATACAGCCTAAAGGCACTATGTTTTAATAACTACAGGCGGGGTCCAAAGCTACGAACATTCAAACACATAATCTTGAGCAATCTTCTTTTCTTTCCTTACATGGATATCCCAGTCTTTAGTGCAAAGGTTGCTGTTCACTGTTGAACCGCCAGGTTCTAACAGAGTTTTGGGACAGCCTTCCTAGGGTTAGGCCAATACTCTCTTTTAAGTGCTTCATGCATTGGGCAGGCGCATAATGCTTCATCATTGGGCAGGTGTGTAATATACTATGCGAGTTATTGTTGTAATATCGTGCGCTCATTAAAATAGTGAAATCAAAGAAACTGGTATTCTTCTGAACATTTGTCAATTTTTATCACATTTTTGTTTTCCAACTCTGTTGTAAAATGTTCATCAAAAGCACAAAAAATGTAGATTTACAGTTCCCAAGGACACTCAAGCTTTGGAAAGCACCAAACTTTGGCGGCTATTTTCTCGTTAATTTTACCTCTGACACCAGGCAACCCCCACTTCCTCAAATATCTCTACTTCTATTCCAGATATATTGGTATTTTTTCACATAAAGCAAGGCAAATGAAGAGGGTTTTCGAATACACCAATGACTCCATATGCCCAAAAATTCACAAGCACCTCATTCAGGCGCAGCGTGACACACATATGATTTATTTATTCTTATTTGGCTGCCGATGCTGCATGGGTACTGCTGCGAGTATCTCTGATAATGCTTTCTATTTCAACACCGATATTCTTGGCATCAAGACTGGATATAGCATCAAAACAAGCGTGAATAACAACGAGATGAAAAATGAATAAGCAATATACCTTTGTGACCAGAAATCTTGCTGCTTCGTCAATGTTGATGTTATCCTTGGCCGAGGTCTCGTACCAGCCAATGAAGCCCTTGTCTTTACAGAATTCATCCATCTGTGATGCATTATTCACCAGACCTTCTTTTGCTTGATCACACTGTATAAAAAAAAAAAAGTATTCAATTTGAGTTTTATGTTTGTTTGAGTAAGGAGAAACACATCCACAAAACAGAGGTCACTTAGTGCTGAGATAAAAAATAAGACGGAGAGTCAGAAACAACCGATGGAAGTAAATAAGTAGGACCTGCCAGTAGCACCCTCCAATCGCCTGCTCAGATTGGGTAGAGAGAAGCACATCAACACAATAAAGGTCATTTGTGAGGCAGCGTGGTGGAATCAGGCTCTCACTCTCATCAAAATAATCAAAATGAAGAAACTTGCATTTTTCCGCAGGTTTGTGAATTTTTATTAAATTTTTGTTTTTTGGCTCAACACCTTTCATGCCCATTAAAGAACTCCTTTCTGTGTGGATTTTTCTGAAAAACGTCGATTAAAGGCACAGAAAATGTAAATTTTTAGTTACCACGGACTCTTAAGATAAGGAAATAACTAACCTTTGGCAGCCATTTTCTCACTAATTTTACCTCTGAAAACAAGTGACCCCCACCTCTTTCTTTCGTAAATATCTCGACTTTTATTCAAGATAAATGGATACTTTTTTCATCCAAATAAAAACAAGTGAACAAGCTTTAAAATGATACCAATAACTCTACATGCCCAAAAATTGGAGAGAGCCTGATTCCACCACGCTGCCTCACATTTAGCACAGGAGTAAAGTAGTGGGATATACCAGTGGTGTCCTCCAATGAAATGCAGAAAGTCTTAAGTTCATAAGATTTGACACTCAAAATGGGACCAAAACTACTTGTGCCATGACGCAGTGGAATCAGGCGCTCGTCAATTTTTGGGCATGTGGGGTTATTGGTATCATCTATAAGCTGATTTGTATTGTTTACCCTGCTTCAAATGAAATAAATATCTCTGTATCTTAAATAGAACTCAAGATATTGGCGATTGAAGGAAGTGAGGTCGCCTGGCTTCAGCGGGGAAATTAGCGAGAAAATGGCAGCCAAAGTTTGGTAACTCCAATAGCTAAAGAGTCCACGAAAACAGAAAAATGACATATTTGGAGCCTTGAATCAATGTTTTTCAGTAAAATTCACACAGAAATGTGTTTTGATATGGACATAAAAGAAGTTGAGCCAAAAAATAAAAATTCTATAAAAATTTCCAAACTGCCAGAAAAATGCCTGTTTTTTCGATTTCCGTATTTTGACGAGCGCCTGATTTCACCATGCTTCCTCACATTTTGAATGATTAAGTAGTACTGGTTCAAAAACCCATTCAGTATACAGTTCACGTAGTCAACAGAACATAATTGCTTTACAGCCAGACTGAAGTATACGTGGCTAAGGGGGAAGATGCAAAAACAACTTTTAAAAAAAAAAAAATTAAATTTCACTGATGGTTTTCCCCTACTTTTCCCTAACAGCCATGGCTATTTCTCATTTTGAAAGTGTATATACAATACAGACACCGTCATCTGTTTTGGCTGCAATTTTTATTGAT